CAGCCCTTCCAGAGACACTTGCTCTCTCCAGTGAGGATGGTGGCCCGGGCGCAGGGGACAGTAGGGGAGGGAGCGCCAGCAGGGGCGGGCCTAGACGTCCAGGCCGTGAGGATGCAATCACAGAGACACATCTGGGCCAGTGCAGTGGAGGCTAAGCCACTGGGGCCCACATGGCCCACTGCACAGTTCGAGTCTTAGACCTGGCAGCCTGAAAAACACAGTGGGCGTGTGCGTGCCCAAAGTCCCGAGAGGAGAATGCAGGAGAGAGGGTTGCAGCATGGTCGTCCCCAGGGCACGCTCTCACTTCTCTCTCTCTCTCTCTGTGTCTCTGGAGAGTCCATGCTCTGCCTATAGCAAATTTTTAAAATAAACAACTAAAGGGAACCAGCAGTTAGCGTAATGGCTATGTCGCTGGACTCCCACGTAGTCGACCGCGGTTCGCGTCTTGGACCCGGTGGCTTAAATCTCACGCTGGGCGCGTGTGCGTGCGTGCCCAAGATCCCGAGAGGAGAATGGAGGAGAAGGGATTGCGGCATGACCATCCCCTCTGGGGGGTGATTTCTCGCTTTCTGTCTCTATGTCTCTCTCTGTCTGTCTGGCGAGCGCACGCGCCCTATAGCGAAAACCTCTCCAAAAAAAAAAAAACCTAAAGGCATGTTTGTGATGCCTACAATGGGAAGCTGGGCAGCAAGATTTGGTTCTAACAAGCACAGCAAGAACTTTTCGGTGCAGTGCCATGAGCTACCAGTCCCCAAGTCTGCCCTCCTAGCAGGCTCCCGACTGATTCGGTTCTGATGGGTTTTGCTCCTAGAAAACTCACCCAAGCCAGGATCGGCCATAGTGCGCAGATCCCACAGTTAGGTGTGATGGACTGTCTAGCACCACAGACACGTGAGACTTCTCTTAGTCTCAGACATTCAATCAGTGTGCGTCACTACAGCTGGTACAGTGAATTTACCCAGCACGCACAGCAGGCCGGTCAATAGAGTATACCATTCACGTACCGACGGATACTCCTCCATTTCTGTGGCCCACAGATGTCTTGCCTCTCTGTTTTTCTCCTGTCTTTCCTCACACTCTCCCCCACTTCCCACCCTCTTCCCACTCTGTCTCTGGTATCTATAACCATTTTCCATGCTTCTATATCCCCTAATCTTTCAGTTTCCACCATAGAGTGAAGACACTCAGTATATGTCAAGTGGGGACATACAGTGTCTCTCCTTCATAGCCTGGCTTGCTTAACTCAGCAGTAAGTCTTCCATAGTCAACACTTTCTTTCTTTCTTTTTTAGAGGTTTTTGCTATAGGGCACGTACACTCGCCAGAAAGACAGAGAGAGACAGAGAGAGAGAAAGCAAGAAATCACCCCCCGGGGGGATGGCCACGCCACAATCCCTTCTCCTCCATTCTCCTCTTGGGATCTTGGGCACACACACACACCTGCCCGGCATGAGTTTAAGCCACCAAGTCCGGGACTTGAACCGTGGTCAACTACATGGAAGTCCAGTGACATAGCCATTATGCTAACTGCTGGTCCTGTATATTCATCCACTTTCTATCAAATGCCAGGGTCTTGTCATTTTTTATGACTAAGTAGTCTTCTATGGAATATATGTGCCACACTTTTTCAATCCACTCATTTGTTCATGGACATTTGGGTTGGTTCCACGTCTTAGCATTTGTGAATAAGGCCACAATAAACATGGGTGTGCAAGCTCTTTTCCAACTGAGCATTCTGCTGTCCGTCGGGTAGACACCCAGGAGTGGAACTCCTGGGTCATATGGTAGTTCTAGCTATAGGTCTTTGAGGAACCTACGTATTATTCTCCACAGTGGCTGGACTAGTCTTCATCACCATCAGCAGTGTAGGAGAGTTCCCTTTTCCCCACATCCCTGCCAGCACTTATCATTTTTTGTTTTTTTGATCTTTGCCATTCTGATAAGTGGTATCTCATTGTGGTTTTGATCTGTGTCTTCTTTATCATGAGGGGTGTTGAGCATTTCCTCATGTGCTTTTTGGCTGTTAGAACGCGTTCCTTGGAGAGTTGTCTGTTCAGCTCATTTTCCCATCTTTTCAGAGGGTTGATCTTCTTTTTTCAGGTAAGCTGCTTGAGTTCCCTGTGTATTTTGGTTATCGGTCCCTTGTCTGAGGCGTAGTTTACAAAATACTCTCCCATTCCTAGGGTTGTCAGCTCACTGATTACTGTCTTTGGCTGTGTAGAAGCTTCTTAACTTGATGTAATCCCACTTGTCTATTCTGAGATTATCGGCCATGCTTTGGGGATCTTATTGAAGAAGTCTTCATCTACCCTCGTGTCTCACAGTTTCCCCAGTGTTTTCCACCAGAAGTTTTATAGTTTGATGTCTTAGCTTTAGATCTTTGGTCTACTTTGAGTTGATTTTTGTCAATGGTGAGAGGCAGGGGTCGAGGTTCATCTTTCTGCAGGTGGCACGAGCAAGGGTTACAATGCTCGGTTCCCACATGGTTGACTGCAGTTCAGATCCCGGACCCGGTGGCTTAAACTCACGCTGGGCATGTGTGCATGCATGCCCAAACTCCTGAGAGGAGAATGAAGGAGAAGGGATTGTGGTGTGGCCATCCCCCGGGGAGTGATTTTCTGCTTTCTGTCTCTGGTAAGTGCACATGCCCTATAGGAAAAAATCTCTCTCTCTCTCTCTTTTTTTTTTTTTTTTTTTAAAAAGACTGTTTTGTTGTTTCTTCCCCATTTCGAAATGGAAGTTGTTCCTTTGTGTCTTTTACTTGTTTCGTTTGTTTTTATGAAGATTCCAATCTGGTAATAAAATTTACATCACCCACACGAGTGTATGTGAGCCCTCTGGGGCAGCGAGACGGCTCCTGCTGGTGGGCGGCCGCTTAGTAACATGTGAAATGGGCAGTGGGCAAAAGATGAAAAAGATGCTTTCTGATAGCATGATCTAAGCAGATTTATAAGAAAGGAACCAGAGGGACCAGCAGTTGGCATAATGGCTATGTCATTGGACTCCCATGTAGTCGACCGGGGTGCAACTCTCAGACACCGTGGTTTAAACTCATGCCGGGCGTGTGCGTGCCCAAGATCCCAGGAGGAGAATGGAGGAGAAGGGACTGCAGCGTGGCCATGCCCCCTCTGTCTCTCTCTGTCTTTTTTTTTTTTTATTTGAGAGGTTTTCTCTATAGGGCGTGTGCGCTCACCAGACAGAGAGAGACATAGAGACAGAAAACAAGAAATCACCCCCCAGAGGGGATAGTCACACTGCAATCCCTTCTCCTCCATTCTCCTCTCGGGATCTTGGGCATGCACGCACACGCGCCCGGCGTGA